GATTTTATTCTTGTCGATCTTATTTTCGGGTTTATATTTATAGGTAACGGTTTTATGTGTTTTTTGATGGCTTCAGATTTTTTAGATGACGTTCACACGTCTTGTAACATAATTCAGCGAGTTAAAATTTTTGATTAATGTAACTCTGAAAAAGAAAGAGGAAGAAAAACTAGCAATTTGTCAAAGAAAAATGGAAAGGAGTATGCTAGGCATCAAATTAAAAGACCAAATCAGTAACAAAAAAATTAGGGCAATAACGAAAATTCAGGACATACGAGAAAGAATCCGGTTATTAAAATGGAACTGGGCTGGTCACGTATGTAGAATGGAAAACAATAGATGGACAAAAAAAGTAATGGAGTGGTTACCCAGAGAGGAAACGAGGAGCAGAGGACGACAAAGAACACAGGAGAGACATCTTCACACAAAGTGTTGGATCGGAATAGATGAGAACAGCTAGAGACAGAAAGAAATGGAAAGTATTGGGGGAGGCCTATGCCAAAAAGGCGACTATTACCTAAATATTTGAACGTAATAGTTTTAACACAATAATAAATAGTCGCCTCTCATTTAAGACGAAAGTCCAAGCTCGAATTCTCGACACTTTAGCAGACTCATCACATCCCTAAAGTCTTATATGTTATTATGTTAGTCTTGTATGTATTACTCAGCAAGTATATATATATGTATGTGTATCTCAGTATGTATGTAACCTAATTTTAATTTCATGCACCTACTCAGACATTTCCCCACCACCCAAAGGTAGACTGGGAGAAAATGCCTTTGGCATTAAGTCCGCCATTGTACTTTGTTTGTGCAAAAAAGAATTAAATAAAATAAAAAAAATAATAATATCAAAAGTATTCATTCAGAATAAAAGTTAATGCACAAGCAAAAAGACTAAACTATGTTACGACACCCACGCATATAAACTCAATAATCAATTTATTTGCTAGCTTTAATTTTTAGTTAAGTTTACAGTTTTCATTCTGTCAACAAGCGATGTAGTAGCAGCAAACAAAATATATACCCTTAAATATAAAGATGTGAAATAATAAAATTGCAAAATCCCTGCATTGATAAGAACAATTGAACAACCAACAATAAAACAAGAACAACATAACCAGGCGATCAGCTTTCGACGTCAGACCCGTTGCGCTCAATTCAACTTGGCTTTATTAGGAACCTGGCGTGGCGTATGATAGGTAAATCCCGTTGAAATAGGTCGCACAACTTGACATTGGCGTTTACACAGAACATGTCTGGATAATACAGTTACTAACCTCAAATTGTCCAAAAAGTTTGAGGACCGTTTGCATAAATGTGACTTTGTTGTTTTAAACTATGTTGTTAAGAATTACAGCTTATGTAGCGTTGATGCTACTAAATATAGAATGTGATAATATACTACAAAATTTTCTGGTGTAATGAAGATGATGTCTGGAAAAAAGGTACCAGACAGTTCCTCACCCCCATAAACTATTTGCACTCTCAGTGCAAATGGTTTATGGAGGTGAGGAACTGAGAAAAAACGCCACGAAGAAAAAACTACAGTAATTATAAATCATATTCTAAAATATCAAGTTTTAAAAAAAATTAGGATATTTTTTTTTTTTTTTTTTTAAAGGACAACTCCCGCACTAGGAATAAATCCTGTGTCGCGGGGGACTTTACAAACATACATGAAACGGACACAAAGTACACCCAGACTCAGAAACAACAATTTGTGGATCACACAAAGTGTTGTCCCATGTGGGGTTTGAACCCACAACACTCGACGTAATAGGAAGCGGCGTGGCGACCGCTTAAAGCACTACGCCATCTGTGCAGTCGATGCAGAATATATTTATTATGAATGAAATAAATAATGATAAATTAAACAATAAATGATCTCTGTGGCAAGAAGTGTCGGAAAAAGTCTTGTTACACACATATTTTGACCTCGCTCCCATCCGCTCAGAGCGTGTAACGCGCGATAAGGAACTTTGTCCCAATCTTACTATTACTACGCACTAAAGGAGCTCGTCGAGGACGTAGGGTCTCACCGATTTATACAGTTATTTTAGCACACTTCATCAGATTTTTTAATGCATTGTGAGATGTTAGCAATTTCTTGGTGGACTACTATCTATTCTATCTAAACTATAAGTAGAGGTAGTAAACCGGACTGCCTCGGTGGTGCAGTGTTAGCGTATATGACTGCTGTGCTGAGGTCTCGGGTGTGATACCCGCATCGGACCAAATGTTTCTATGATCTGCAAATATTTGTTTCGGGTGTTTTCTATGTATAATATGTATATATTTAAATGATGGATAAGGTATTCTATCAGTCTATCTTACTTTCATAGTACAAGCTAGTCTGAAACTAGATGGCGTTGTGTCAGATGTCCGAAAATATTTATTATTAAATATACTTGTTCCCAAAATTTCATACAAAATACGTTATCCTTAAATACAAATTACTCAATCATAAAAATATTGTTTTAAATATTTATCGTTCTTTTTGTTTAAGCAGCTTAAGTTAAAATGAAATTAATGAAAATAAAATTATCATGAAAAATATTTGACATATCCGTTTTTAAAAGAAGTTTAATGAAGGCTATAATCGCTTTAATTTTTCTCTTTCATTTTCTTTTTTATCATTTGACCCTTTCAAATAAAAAGGATGAATTGTCTACGGAGAAAGCGTTGGCGTTTAAATAATCTTTAATTTCCAGGTTTTCTTATTAATTCCGTCTGTTTGGAGGTTCTTTTATTGTAAAGTAATTGTTACTGTGTAGGTTTTGTAAACAATGTTGAAATTACAAGATAAATGTACCTCCTAAAGGGCAATTGTTTCTCTTTAAATCGGGGGTTTATACGACTATTTTTGAAAATATGTTTAAAACAAGATGTTTTGTTGAAATTGACCTGTTATTTATTTTCAGTAATTGAATTTCAATGAAAACGTCGAGTAAGGTTAGGCATTACTTTCAAAAGAGACAGGAGTAGTCCTACAAAATAAGGGTTCCAAATCCTAAAACAATGGCGCTGTCTCCGTTAATGAACTTGTTATTGGTCTGCTAGGAAAATAATTTATACTCTCGATCGTCCCAATTGTGCTTATATTCCACTATTTAATTTAATTTAGCCTGGCCGGTTTCGCCTTATGGTCTTTGATAACCATAACTTTTGATAATCATCAACATCATCACATCAATAGCCTTTAATAGTCCACTGCTGGACATGGGCCTCTCCTTGGAAAAAAGGTTTTGGCCTACTCACGCTGACCAGACGGGTTGGTATGGGGTTTGTGTCAAGTTTTCTGCTGTCTTAGTCGTCTTTGACGACACCTACGGGATGAATAGGGGTGGTGGCACTCCGTACTCTTAATCCGTCACCACACGGATATAACCTTTGAAAATGACAAATTAAATAGTGGATTATAAGTACAAGTGAGTTTGATTTCATAATATAGGAAAATAATTATTTTCTTAAGAAATACAATATTTACTCGTAAAAAAACGATCTGTCCTTTATAGTTTCTTAGTGTGATTTATTTTCCTTTAAACTACACTCTTGTAATTTCAGTTCATCAGACGACTTTAATTAGATTAAAATAACAGTCATAAGTAAGATTACAATACATATATATGATAGCATGACAAAGAAAGATGGGTTTGAAGATTTTCATTTCTTATTACGCTACCTACCTACATTTGCACAATCACGAGGATTGTGCAAATGTAAGTTTATCTGTGTCGGTGTTAAAGTTATAAAGTTTGAAAAGGGACATCAAACCCAAGGACAATCAAGTTAAAAGTTGCAAAGTCGGTGGCAATCACGAAATGTGTTGTTTTATGTGTCAAATAAGCCAACTTGTGTAGGAGTTACCTGTAAACTTATTTTATGGGTCGCGTCGTAAAAAGTGTACATGTGAAAATTTCCTGAAACAAAAACTAGAGAACTAAACGCACTTATTTCACCACATATTTGATGGTCTGTTCTGTAATAAAAGACGAATTTCCTGCGAGAGATGGGATTTTACTAAATCCGTGCGAATCCAATATAGATTAGCGAGCCCTTCATCAAATCTTCTTCTAATGGTTTTGGCAATAGGGTGCGATTTCGTAATTTGAGGCGTCTTGTGTGTAAAAAAGATAATGATTTTGAAACAGCTTTCAAAAGAAGTTAATATGTGTATGTAAACGAGTGAATCTTTAGAAAGAGCTCTAGTCTGGTCACCTAGGAAATTATATTAGAACAGTTTTAAGTTGTATACATAACAGAGGCTTGAGGGGGCTTAAAAAAAAATATTTTAATTTCTTTGGTAAGAGATTCTGCCGAAGACAAAAAAATTACAGCATTGTTTTTGTTCCACCAACTTACGTTTAAAGTAAGATTAAAAATGTGTGATTGAAATATAAAGTTTTTACGATTTATTTTAAAGCAAATAGACTTTATACAATATCTCGACATGTTGAAAACACAAATGAAAATGAATACATCATAGGTAATTACATTTAACGGTAAATGTATGCACATGTTTTATTTAGTTTCAACGTTAAGTAGCATACTTACTTAAGCACACGAGAAACATAACAAACTTATAAACTACTTTTATAACACTCATTTATTATTAATACACGCTGCACCTTTAAATAAATCATTTTATAAGTTATAAGGGACCATTTTGTCCATGTGTCCATCTTTGTTTATTTTTTATACCGCACGGGAAATACCTTTTATAAAATATTTACTTACTCGTATATTAATTTTCACTTTACTTAATCATTAATTTTACTTTATTTATTTTCTTAAATTATAGTGCTAAAGTGCGTTTCTTTGTTTTATACGCTTTTATGTTTTGTGTATTATTTATTTTCATTGTCTTCAATACGGCGATGTAGGTTGATCTTCTTTCAGTTTATTTTTACAACATAGACCGAATATTTTATTCACATACAATCGAGGAAATAAAGTTATTTAATTATTATCATTTTTTTTTTAACAGGTCAACAATGAAGTCTACTGCCTTTCTTCTCTACATCTGCATCTTTGCTCTTCTATCTCCTCTGCAATGCGGCACGTCCTCCAGTGGCGCGGATGACAGGCGGTGGTTGGTGTCACTGGTAGACCTCGTCGAGCTGGATTATGTGGATCACTGCGAAAAGAGAGCTGATGCTTCCTGGAATGAACTTCTTGGGCAAAGCAAAGGCTTGGCTATGAAGGTTAATATTTCTTTTGTTTAGCATTGAACAATATTAATTAACAAAAATGATTATATTATTAGAATTAATGCAAGTGTATATAATAGTGTATACAATAGCGAAATAATAGGAAACAATAACTTAAAGTCGAGAACAATGAATCCGAGGTCGCATCTAAAATCCTGAAAGTTAAGTGTTCCAGCCTAATGAAATAAATTCTGTTTCATAAGTAATTAAATATTCATTAAATAAAACGAATAAAACGTACTGTTCACGTTATATTAAACTCCTAAAATTTACACAAAAGTAAACGTATCTTAATATAATAAACTAAAAATTAAAAATGTATAACCGACCTCAATGCGTTGTGTTGAATTGTAATAAGCCGCATTCTTCATTTCTTTTTTTTTTTCAATTTTGAGAATGGGACTAATCGAATACCCTTTCTAATAAATAAAGAATATTCTAAATCCTTACAAAAATGACGTAAGTTCTGAGGTAGCAAATATAAAAAATATATGCAGTTCAACTCCCATTCTTTTGTTTAAGGTCGGATAAAAAAAAAACGACGGGTTGCATTCCGGGAGTGCCGGCAGAAGTGAAAACTTGAATATTAATTTTTTATATTTCGGAATGGTTAGGAAATAATTTTGCACGAATTGCTTTAATGCACGCTGTAACATAAACACACACGAACATTCGCGCAAGCGCCCTGCGCAACGAAACAGCAGGCGCAGGCATACATTTTCGCCGCTCCGTAGAAAGAAAGGGGGATAATGCCTCTCCTACGCCGTGCCAGCTGTCTACTCTCCATGCGTCTTACGAATTTTCGTGTCCTGACGCGAATTTAACATTTTTTACCCATTACAAAAAAGTGTACAACGCCGCTAAAGAAGTTTTCACTTCAAAAAAAACATATTTTCTACAACTTTACTATTGCCAATTTTAATACTTTATGTTACCTCTATACGTGCTGCTATTACATTGCTCATTTAGCATGCTGCACACAAAGTTTCTTTTACGATGTGAGAGAATATTCTCCTTATCCAAGTGAAGCGTGATCGAGGGGAGGTTTCATCGTAACAATTATCGTCGCGAGCTCGTCTATCATGCTTGATTGGATTGAGGTCCGGTCTGCTCGTTGAATGTAACTAAGTACCATAGGTCTTCTTTGTTGTACTGAACACTGTTAACTTATTATATTAACACGTGTACAGTTATAGAATATATTGTTATTTTCTAAATCAAATATTTTTCAACAGTTGGAACGAGACAAATCCTTCGGCATGTTTGTATGTAAACAAACGACCGATATAAAGAGCGCACTAACCGCACATGCATTGGCAGCGGACGACAACGTGCTAAGGAGAAAAGTAACACTACTGCTGCAGCCTGGTGATACTCTCCTGGAGACTGAGCAGTGGATCAGGGTAAGGGATCCTTAACTTACATTTTAACGTATACCCGTGACAAATGGCAAGACTCCATTATATATCTACCAAATGCCTACAATACATATATTGCGTACAATTCATATATATGTATCCAATTGTACACAATTCATATATTGTGTACAATTTATTATTTTTATGTTCTTGGACTAGTCTCTAAAAAAGGTTATGAAATTAACGACATAAATTTTAAAGAGGCAAGATGCTGAATAAAATTTATACAAGAATAATTATACAAAACGACTAAAAGTTGTATTTTCGAGTCGTAACCTGCCGAGTTATAATTGTCAAAAGTTTGTTATTGCGACTGTTGAAGGGAAAATATTTGTATTTTCTTGCTTACCTCAAAGTGTCAATAAAGCTCAAACTCGAGTCTGAAGAAGCTAAGAATAATGTGTACTTCTTGTAATGAAGCAGGTCTACATTTTGCCTTAAGCTATGTTCAGAAGACGGATGTTGAGTCTGATTGATTGATCTTTTTCATGTCGTCCGCATACTAGAGCTCGTTTGCAAAAATTCATGTACTTAATAGTTAACACGTTTTCAAAACGGCGCTCAGCGCTCGTGATCTGAATCCAATGTCATACTCTTAATACATAAATACTGTCGTAGCGTAAGTGTCAATTGCCTTGGTTGTGTGTGCCAAACTCGTTCATGATACATTGCGTTTTTTTTTTTACTCACTATAATATTCTAAGACATTCACACAACGCCATCTAGTCCCATACTAAGCAGAGCTTGTACTATGGGTACTAGACAACTGATATAAATACATATAGACTTTTTTTTGTAAATACATACATATTATACGATTGTTTCATACTTTAGTTACACTAGTACACAGTATAATTTGTTTATCAGATTCCGGTATATGAATTTAGCCCGAGATTCCGCTTCCACTTTTTGAGTTGTGCTTCGGCATGTTTCGGTTAGCTTGGCTGGAATGATACCACGAGCACACAGAAATGTTGAGCATTTTAGATCAGTCAGGCAGCAGCAGTCAAAGGCAACGTACTTGGATCACACTCGATTTGAAAAAAATATATATTACACGTTATTTTAGTTAACGTAATAAACTATTGTCGACATTTATATAGACTGTAGCAAACACATCCGTGTTGTTATTGGCCATTCCACTGGTATAATTCTTTAGTAGTACTGAAAAAGGGTAGCTCGGTGGCTCTCATTATATCCAGTTTTATCGCCAACCTAGAATAGAACACAAAGGAAAGTAAATTGTTAAGGGTAATTTTCACTATACGGTTACTTTTCTGGAAATATTTATGGTTATTAAGAGTTAGATATTTACTACTTATATACATTAATTTATTTAAGAATATCATTGTTTTTTCAGTTATGCATATTTAATGGTGGACTTGTTGGTTTAGTGGATAGTGATCCTGAGTACTGAGGTCGTTTGTTTTATTTCCATTTATTTTCCAAGTCATTTTATTGTGTTATGAGCACGACCATTGGTTATGTGTTTGGGTGTAGTTTATCTATGACTAGTGTAGTTTGTCTTCGTACCTGCTTAGATAAGTATTAATATGTATTCTGTAACTCTGTCTGTCTGTTACGCTTTGACGGCTAAACCGCTAAACCGATTTCATTGAAATTTTGCATGCTGATACTCTGATTGTTGAAAAAGGACATAGACTACTTCTTTTCATGATAACCGATATACACGCGGGGTGGGGGGGCAATATTATTTATACGGCGTCCGTGACGGATATTCGAAACTGACAAAAATGAAAAGAAAAATGCCATCCAGTTAGAACCGCTTTTTCCTCTAATTTTCTTTTTATTCTATTTCAACGGTAATCTCGACACAAGTCAAATAATAAATTCATTTACTTTATTTTTATTACAAAAGATAGCTGAGGTAATTGGATATAAATCTTTGGCTTTATTTATGACGTCCGACGTACTCTCTTATCCATAAAATATATTGCTAGCCGCAGTTACCTGACTGTTGTAAAAGGAAACTCGCAAACGTTGTAGAACTAAAGTTACAAAGTGAACAAAGTTACTTAATTTCGTAATATATATCCATACGTGTATACGTTTGTGGTAAACACTAATGGTACTTCTGGATGTTCTAGAACAAAGGGCCTAGTGCAATTTTATTGCACATCAATTCGCTCTCGACAGCAGCGAGCGCGTTCGGCATTTCCATTGGTAAAGATTTCGGTGCGGGACAATCGCAGCGGCGAACACGGCCATCGTGACGATCGTATAGATATGAAATAAACTCGCACTTGGGCCTATGTCCAATGTAGCAGTATCTAATTCACTTATACCGACTATTAGTAAAACGTTGCGATATGATTTGTCTCCTTTAGCAACTGGGTTCATTTTAGTAATTAAATACAAAATCCAAAAAAAAGAGGCTTTGACTAATACATGAATGAAAAGTTATACTACGTTACAATGTTTTTACTTCAATTTTACTTTCACTTAAATTATAATCATTTATAAGTATGTTTACAAACAGTCTGGTTATCATAGCACAGGATATGCCTCGTTTGGGAAAAGACGGCCACGTATGAGATGTCCCTCACTTACATATTATAGGTAAAATAACACCCATACAGAGAACTAATGATCGTGCTCATCACACAACCACGACCTCCGACATAGCAGCCAGGAGCATAAACCACTACACCGACAGGCCCATGAAATCTTTAATCCCTATCTATATTATCAGTAGACATAAAATTTATTATTTCCTATTGTATTCATATCACAGTTTCTATCTTAATTAGAAATAAGACATAACCACCCAAGATTTGTGTATTTAGCTTCGCGTTAAAACAAATACAACTCAAACTTAATGTTTGATTACACAACGATATAATTTTGATACGAAACCCTTAGAATTATGAGAAATGAGATTTAGACTTCTCCGTCGTGAGTATAAAACATTGTAACTAGTTATTCAAGGAGACAACTTTTTACCTTGATATCGACATACACGCAGGCGGAGCCACGGGCAAAAGTCCCTAAAGAATAAACCAGTGTTTGCCCTCCCCATGGAATGCCACGGAGTGTTTGGGCATTGTGATGGAGATGGCATAGAAAATATTTCGAGGTTACCTGTGGTAACATAACACTTTAGGCAATTTTTGTTTTTACTTTTAAATTAAGTGATTAAATACATGGTAGTGTAATTACACTTTTTTTTCTTTTTTCTGTGTGGAAATCCCCTCGGATACCACTTACAGGTGGCAATGTCGGATTCGAACTGACTAAAACCGCACGTCGTCTCAGGTACCAGTAGTCGGGGAACCAGGTGTACCCTAGAAAGGAAATCCCTGGTGCCCCGACGTACCTCGGGCCATCTACGGCGGGTAGGCGACCCCCCCTCTGTGGGAACCCCATGTTCCCTCTGTGCTCCCGAAAGGGCGCGCGCGCCTCTGTGCTCGCCGCCACTGCGGCCTGCTTCTGCTAGGGTGACAGGTGGCCTCACCTGTCACCCCCAGGCCTGCGCTTATGGAGGACGGAGGTCGTTCTGCGACCGAGGCGCCTGAGTCGTCTGCGGTACCTGGCCCGTTCCCGAGCCTGGCGGGCCGGGAGAGTTCTAAACCTCTTCCGGTCCCGCTCCGCCATCTCCTTCGCAAGCATAACTTGCTCGCAGAAGGAGGCGGCAGAGTTCCACTCACTCTCGCTCCGCACGATAGCCGCAATCAGGTTATCGACCGAGAGAACTTCCACTCCGATGGCCGACACGAAATCTCGCCGCTGCTCCACCCACGCCGGGCATTCTGCCAGCGTGTGGAGCGCCGTGTCCACGGTCCGACCATCGCAGTGGTGGCACTCAGGCGTTGGCTCCTTGCGGATCAGACACAGGTGATCCCCGAAACATCCTTTCCCAGTGATCACCTGCGTCAGTCGGTATGAGAGGGTCCCGTGATGCCGCTCGAGAGGGTAAATACACTACCATGTATTTAAAATTTTAAAGATAAGCGAATTAGAGAATTATTTTATTTATTAGAGAATGTACATTGCACATATATACATAACTTGTGTTACATTATTGTACGTTTTAGATACTGTAAATAAATTTTATTTGTAACAACCAACAAACGTTTCTGAAACGAGACAAATATATTTAACTTGTAAAATATCCGAATTTGCTTTCCACGATCCGAATATTTACAAATTTGGTTACCTGTTTTGTATTTCAAGTAATATTTACTTCTTCTTTGAATATAGTAGATTCAGAGAAGACATGAAAATGTGTAAGGCGGATTAAAACAAGCATACAAATAGGTGAATTGAAGAATGCCCCTTTTTAGAATGTATGAATTACATTATTTAATATACTTTTTTGTTATGTTGTGCCTACTATATGCGACACCTATCGTTCATTCGATCATTTTGTAGATTTAGACGTATTATATTGCCAAGTATACTGTAAACAACATAGAATACCTTTTATCTGATTTCCGAGTGAAGGAGAAACATATTTGAAGCGTTTTTTTTTAATTACCCGAGCAAAGCTGCTTGCAGATAAAGCTTAGTTAGCTTGAAATATGAAAAACGGATACCATACATTTGAAACTAAGGACAGACCTTAATTTAAAAAACGGAACTGAATTTTTATCTCTCTCCTCAAAAGATTTTCTTTAATTTTATCTTGTTGTTAGATATAATATAATTAATTATACAAGTTCACCGTTATTTCCTTTTCAGCTTGTGACATTCGGTGACAACGCTCTCAACAAAATTAGATTTGCTACCAACTACGACTGCGGTACTTCCAGTAACTGTACGCTGAGAGGTAAGATATACCTAGAATATAGTGAATCATACTGAATATGTTGGCATTAATATCAGAAATTACATTTTCAAGAAAATTAAATACTTTTACTTTATTTAATTTCATTACATTGTCGTTTATTTATAAAATTGTTTAGTGAGATAGATTTATCTCAGAAAACATTGTATTTATTAATTGAGCATGTAGCATTTGCCCATCTAAATACTGAGATTCTGGTCAATGTATAGTTAGAGAGAGAGAGAGAGAGAGAAAGTCATATTATTATTTTTTATATAATGTTATATTATATAATGTCATGTTATATAAAAAAATTGCAAAAACTAGATCTTAATTATCTTAAAATAGCTGGTAAATATTTCAAGTAGCCCTTTGACGCATTGTAATTTTTTTTAGTTTGAAAGCATATTAATAATATAGTAATGCTATATTATCATATGTATATTATATCAAAGTCACCGATGTTCAGGCAATTTACGTCTTAGAGGAAGGACGTCTAAGGTAGGAAGAAGGTCTGAAGTCAAATCAGGAATCGAAAAAAATTAATTCGCTATGTAGTCAGTAAGAAAGAAAAAACTTTTAATAAGACTACTTTCGAGACAAACATTTGCATAAAGTTAATTTCTCAGCTATCATAAAATCATATTTTTATAAAAAATAAACCTTTAGTGGAGTGTTTTGGCTTCCAAATGTAAGGCTAAGGATTCCTGAAGATGCGGCTTAAGCCTTTTAGCTGTGTAACTCTAGAAATTAAATTAAAATTAAGGCTAAATTATTTTATGTCAAGTTTCTTTTTGAATTATATGAAATCTTTATTAACTTTCTTATAAGTATATATTGTTTGATAATAGCAAAAGCTCTGTTTTCTATCTAATACCTTTAAACGAGCAATTCTTGTATATATATATTTATTCTGAATCTAAAAAACTGAATTTCAGAAACGGCTCCAAAGATTTTCATGAAATTTTGTATGCAGGGGATTTCGGCGTCAATTAATTGATCTAACTAAGTTTCATTTTGTTGGAAATTTTCCAAAAAAAAACCGCGCAAAGTTCGGTCATACAGTACTTTATATTAACACGAGCACCAGTGTATAAGTTTAATACAATAATCTTTTTATCAAAATTATTACCAAAATAAGCAAAGCATTATTTTGGTTATAAAATACTAACAAAGCAAATTAGTAATATAAAATAGTTTTATGTCTACAAACTATAATATTTTATGCAAGATTGTATCGTTTAATTCACAATACGTGCAAGAGATTAAAGTGGAGCTAAGATACGATGCATATCATGCATGCAAATTGTGAATTCATTTTTAGTGAGCTTTTGTTTAAGCTCCCCAATAATTTTTAATATTTTTCCCTGCCTGTCATTATTATCATCAACAGCCAGTATTCATCCACTGCTGGACTTAGGCTCCTCCTTATGAAGGAAGTTTTGGCCTACTATACCACGCTGGCCAGACGGGTTGGTATAGGGTTTGTTTGGGGTGCTGGGCTAGAAAACCTCCTCGTGGTGCACCCTGGAAACGCTGGCGATGGTACTGTTTCCTCCTTGTCCTCTTGGAGGAGAGGATTATCGCCAGCGGCCAATATTCTAGCAGAAGAGGCAGCCGTTCATCGGCTCTCGGGCAAGGCCTGGTCCAGCAGGGTGGGCGTGTCTGCCGGTTGCCCTGCTGGCTCTTCGCTCTTCGGAGCATGGAGGAGGAAACCTCGGTAAAAAACCTGATGGCGGGGCCCTGTAGGGGCCACAGTTTCTCCGCTGACAGCGGTGGAGAAAGGAGGACGGGCTCGGCGTGTACTCACACTACCACCGAGCAGGCAGGGGGACGTAGTCTCCCTGTCAACCGTCGGCATATCGTAATCCCGAGAAGAGCGCTGTGGTTAAGTCTCGCGGCTCTGATCGGGGGCGAGGGTCTTGGCTTAACCGCCCGGACCGCGAGGAAGATAACCTCTCTAAAAAATTCCCCGAATCCCGTGTTCTGGTGCGTGGCCAGGGGATGCATGGCTGATGGGAAGTTCAGTCGCGAGCGCACTCCAAGCCGAGGTACCTGCGGACCCCTCGGTTGGGTTAAAAACTTACGCTTGCCCGGGTAATGGGGGATCTCTGCCCGGGTGGACCTTTTAGTTCTCCCCCACTCGTGGGATTTATTATGAATTTGAATACAAATAAAAATACAAAGAAACGGACACAAACGGAAAACAAACAAAACCAGGCAAGCAAAACGGACACTGAAACAAAAGGTGCAAGGGAGAAGAGGCACAGTGGAGTCGATGGGTCGTCCACTGAGGGTGAGGTGGCATCGGGAACGCCCATCTCGATGGGGCTCCCAGAAGTCAGTCTGACTCTGATCTCTGGGAGCCGAAGAGCATCGGATCGGCTGCGTTCCGGATCCGCCGCTTCGTCGGATGGCGCGGAGGCCATGGAGGCGGAACGAAGCGACAGCCGGAAACGCGGACGCTCCAGGGACGAGGAAACGGATACGTCCCAAGAAATGATGCCACCAAAGGTGGCAAGCAGCCGCCGAGGGAGGCAACGTAAACCGGCCTCGGCCTCGGTCTCGACCCCGTCAGGCTCCGCGTTCTCAAACGCGGAGTCCTACAGAAGTGTACGGGTGGACGGCGAGGCCGTAGCGGAGGAGGAGATCGCGGATCTCCTGCTCAAGGTTCGGGAGCCGGTGGGGGGAAATGCCCCCCAGGCTCCCGTGTCCGTGCAGGAGAGGGCGAAAGCGGCGGTGGCCGTCATCAACAAGGTGGCCACCAAATCCGTGAACCTTAAGGGCTCGTTTGTGAGGGCCCTTGAGGACTCCTCCTCCGCTTTGTCGGAGGTCGTGGAGGGCCTAGCGGGCGACGTCTCTCGCCTGCAGGTGGCCAACGAGAAGCTGACGGAGCGGGTGAACGAGCTGAGCGCTCAGTTCGCCCGCTTCCAGGCGAACCTCCCCGAGCGGGAAGCCCCGTCCGCGTCCCAGCCTGCCCCTACCACCAACTCAGGGGCATTTGACTCCCAACTGCGAGAAATCCTCATCGCAGTTGGGAATATGCTGGACGGACGCCTGGCTGGCCTGGAGGCGAGATTGCCTCCTGCGCCGATTATGCGCCCCCCGCTCGCGTCGGCACAGCGGCCTAAGGCCGCCGCTCCGACCGCGCTCCCCGTTGTGGGAGGCCGCGTGTCTTACGCGGCGGCGGCGTCTGCCCCTACTCCATCGGCTCCCCAAAAGCCGAGGAGGGGGGCCAAGGCACCGGCCCAGGCGCCGGCCAAGGCACCGGCTAAGGCGCCGGCCAAGGCACATCCCCAGGCGCCGGCCAAGACGGGGCCTAGAACAGCGCCGAGGAGCGGAGTGGCATTCCCTCCGCTCCCCACTCCGACACCCCTGCCGGGCCCCTCCGCACCTGCCCCCTCCAACGAGGGTTGGCAGGAGGCGAGGGGCTCCAAGAAGTCCCGAAGGCGGGCCAGAAAGGCTGCCCAAAAAGCAGCCCAAGCCCAGCCTTCGCCACCGGTGGCAAACGGCCTCTGCAAAGAGGCCGCGGAAGCTGCAGCCGCCCAAAACCGCGGCTGTTGTTGTGACCGTGTCCCCGGAGGCGGCTGACGGCGGGCTGTCCTATGCGGCCGTCTTCAAGAAGGCCCGGGACAGCCTCGCCAACGAGTTTGGGACGGTGGGGGTCAGGATGCGCCTCGCCCAGACGGGAGCTCGAGTTCTCGAGTTCCCTGGGGCCGAAGGCGCAAAGACGGCGGACTCCTTCGCTGAGAAGCTGCGGGGAATATTTGCAGCCACAGATGGTGTCAGGGTCGCCAGGCCTACCAAGTGCGCGGAACTGCGCATCTCGGGCCTGGACGACTCAGTGACGGCCGAAGATGTCCGCGCTGTAATCCGGGAGAAGACGGGGTGCAGCGCGGACAACGTCAGGGTCGGCACCATCCGCCCCGGTCCAGGAGGGCTTGGCGCCGTGTGGGTCAGCTGTCCCGTAGCGTCGGCCAAAGTATTGGCCGACGCCGGCAGGCTGCTCATCGGTTTCGTGAGCGCCAGGATCACAGTCCTGGCGGCGAGACCGATGAGGTGTTTCAAATGCCTGGCCGCGGGACACACGCGCGTCAAGTGTGACAGTTGTTTTGACTGCGGCGGACTGTGTTTCCGCTGCGGTCAACCGGGGCATAAGGCGGCAGAATGCTCTGCCGCCCCTCACTGCCCAGCGTGTGCGGCGGGCAATAAGCCCGCCAATCACCAGATGGGGCAGAGAGGCTGCAAGCCTCCCCGCAGTTCTCGGCAGACGTCGGGGGTTAGCCAGTCGACCCAGGCTGCCTCCGATGTAGTTCGTGCGTCGACGTCGTCGCCCATGGAGGAGGTTGTAGAGACGATCCAGTAATGGATCAAGTCTCCAACCTCCTGGTCCAGGACGAACCTGAACCACTGTGCCGCGGCGCAGGATCTCTTCCTGCAAACCATGGCACAGTGGTCGATAGGTGTTTGCCGTAGTCGCGGAGCCCTATTCTGTCCCTCCCCGTCCAAACTGGATGGGTGACTGGGACGGCTCCGTGGCAGTCGTCGGTTCCACGACGGCTCATTCCCCGCCCTTGTCGCTAAGAGACAAGGGCACTGGATATGTTGCCGTCGAGTGGGGGGGGATCACCATATATGGTGTCTATTTCTCCCCCAACCGGAGTTTGAACGACTTCGAGGTTTTCCTAACCAGCTTGGAGACCTCGATACGGCGACTAGCGTCCGGGCACGTCCTTGTGCTGGGGGACTTCAACGCAAAGTCCATTGCGTGGGGTTCCCCCAGGGCGGACGCCAGGGGCGAGGCCGTAGAGGAGTGGGCGGCCTCGGTGGGCCTCTGTCTTCTAAACAGAGGCTCCACCAACACGTGCGTGCGACAGCAGGGGGGGGTCGATAGTGGACCTTTCGTTCGCTACCCCTGCAGTCGCCGCACGAGTAAGGAACTGGTGTGTCCTGGAAGAGGTTGAGACGCTCTCGGATCACCTGTATATCCGATTTGAGCTCTCCCGGACCCAGGACTCCAGTAGGGGTCACGTGGCGCGGCGTTTATCCCGCTTTCCGCGGTGGGCTGTTGCCAGGCTGAACCGGGACCTACTAGAGGAGGCAGCCATAATTCACTCGTGGCTGTCTCCTCAGGCTCCGACCGAGGAGGTCGACGTGGGGGCTGGCCGCTTTCGCGATGCGATTACGCATGTATGCGATGCGGCCATGCCCCGCGTTCGAGGTCGTCGGCCTCCAAGGAAGGAGGTCTACTGGTGGTCCCAGGAGCTGGCGGACCTCCGTGCGGCCTGTACACGTGCCCGGAGGTCCTACACGCGCAGTCGGCGGCGTCACCGTGGAGACGGTGAGGAGGACCGGCTTCATGAGGAGTACCGACGGGCGCGGAAAACTCTGAAGCTGGCCATTAGCCGCGCCAAAGAGGAAAAAAGACAGGAGATGCTGGAGGGTCTTAATCGTGACCCCTGGGGTCGCCCTTACCGCGCGGTGCGACAAAAGCTCCGCGCGTCGGGCCCCCCCCTTACGGAGACTCTCCAGCCCAGCTTCCTGCGAGAAGTGGTTGAGGGCCTTTTCCCACAACGGGCGGAACACACTCCCCCGTCGATGGTCTCCCTGGCCGGAGACGACGGGGAGCACGGGGAGGACAATGTTCCGCCCGTCCGGGAATCGGAGGTAGGGGCGGCTGTTCTACGGATCCGTTCCAAGAACACCGCCCCTGGGCCAGACGGGGTACCGGCCCGAGTGCTGGCCCTGGCCCTCAACCACATGGCAGACCGCCTCGGGGAGGTGTTCGACGCTAGCTTGGCGTCGGGACGCTTCCCTGAGTGCTGGAAGAGCGGGAAGCTGGTCCTACTGACGAAGCCGGGACGGCCTGCCGATTCGGTCGCGGCCTATAGGCCCATCGTGCTGCTGGACGAGGCGGGCAAATTGTTTGAGAGGGTTCTTTCTGCCCGCATCGTCCGGCACCTCTGCGAGGTGGGCCCCGATCTGTCGGACGCCCAATTTGGTTTTCGGGCGGGGCGTTCGACAGTCGACGCCGTGTTGCGCCTGAGGGCCGTGACCGAAGAGGCCGTGAGCTGTGGCGGCGTGCTGTTGGCGGTGTCATTGGACATCGCCAACGCATTCAATAGTCTGCCATTCAGCTGCATCAGGGAAGCACTCCACTATCATGGGGTGCCAAAGTACCTGAGGCGGCTGGTGGCAGACTATTTAGAGGAGCGTACCGTCGTGTACGAGGACCGAGAAGGTAATTTGAGGAGTCGGCCCATGTCGTGCGGTGTTCCACAGGGGTCTGTTCTTGGACCCCTCTTGTGGAACATAGGGTACGACTGGGCCCTTCGCGCCGATTTCCCCCCCGGGCTGGGTGTAATCTGTTACGCAGACGATACCCTCGTGACAGCCCGGGGGGCAAACTTCCAAGAGGCGGCGCGCCTGGCCACAGGGGGAGTCTCCCTGGTGGTCGGGCGCATTGAGGCGCTGGGCTTACGGGTGGCCCTAGATAAGACGGAGGCCCTATTATTTCATGGGCCCCGTCGTGGTCCACCCCCTGGCGCCTCAATAGTGGTCAACTCGGTCCTCGTACCGGTTCGGGCCCAGATGAAATATCTGGGCCTGATCCTCGACGGGAGGTGGCTCTTCGACGAGCACTTCCGACAGCTTGCTCCAAAGCTGGTCGGCGCTGCGTCTGCCCTAGGGCGACTCTTGCCCAATATGGGTGGACCCAGCGTCGCGACAAGACGGCTGTACACGGGGGTTGTCCGGTCAATGGCGCTGTACGGTGCACCGGTGTGGGCGGCGGCTCTGACCGCCCAGAATAGGGTACGCCTCTGGCGCCCTCAGAGGGTAATGGCGGTCAGAGCCATACGCGGTTACCGCACCGTTTCTACGGAGGTGGCGTGCGCGTTGGCCGGAACTCCCCCGTGGGATTTGGAGGCGGAAGTGCTCGCCGAAGTTTATCGGCGAGTGGCTGACTTCCGGGCGGAGAGCGGATTTCGCCCTCCGCCCGAGGATGTGCGCGAGTGGCGCGAAGCCGCTCGCCGAGCCACGATGGCTCGTTGGTCGTTCCGGCTGGAGACTCCACGCGCTGGCTTCGCCGCCGTGGAGGCTCTCCAGCCGGTCATCGCCGAGTGGGCAGGGCGGCAGCACGGGACCCTTTCCTTCCGGCTGACGCAGGTGCTTTCCGGGCATGGTTGCTTCGGAAAGTACCTGCACACGGTCGCTAGGAGGGAACTGAGTCCCGCCTGCCACCACTGCGACTGCAGTGAGGACTCGGCCCAGCACACGCTGGCGGTCTGCCCCGCATGGGCGGCGCAGCGCCGGGCCCTCACTGCAGTCATCGGAGTGGATCTCTCGCTACCGGCCGTAGTACGCTCCATGGCCGGTAGCGACAGTTGTTTTACCGCGGTCGCATCCTTCTGCGAGGTAGTAATCTCGCGGAAGGAGGCGGCGGAGAGGGCCCGGGAGGACGACCTCCACTCGGACCCGATCCGCCGCCGGCGAACCGGGCGGCGGAGGCCCGCCTACCACAGCCTCATGCCGCCCTGAGTGTGGCCGCGGGTGGACGGGGTGGGTTTCCCCTCCACCCGCATTAGTTGGCCAGCCGCGAGGGGGCGGCGTCCGCGTGTGCCGGACGTCGCCTAAAGAGAGGAAAATATATTGAGACGGAGCCCGCACCAGGAGCGGGCTGGCGCTAGGAGGGGTCCGGATGTCTTAACAACAGCTGTTCCCGGATCCCTCCTGTTACAGGCGCAGAGTGGCACACCGTGTGGTTTTAGTCGGTCCGAGTCCGACACACCACCCCGCCGCAAACCCCGGAGGGGTGACGGTCCGAGGGGATTTCCACACGTTAAAAAAAAAAAAAAAAAAAAAAAAAAAAAAAGGGTTTGTTTCAAGTTTTCCTTCTCTTTGCAGTGCTGTTGTCCTGCGTAGTTCGCTCCCTTAGTCGACTCTCACGACAGCCACGGGATGAAAGGGGTGGTAAAACTCCGTATTCCTAATCCGTCGTCACAGCAGTCCTTAACATTAGCAAATTCATATGATACAATATTACCTGAGTGTTACCAATGTGAGTTTATTTTAAAAAAGCCTTGTAAAATTTTCTCTTATAAATTCCACCTATTTCCAGCTAAGCTAATATAATTATAAGGAAATAAAAACCCTGGTGCAAAATTAATTACTGTAAAAATATTTAAACTGCCCAACATAACCTTTTAGAGATATGAAATATATTAAAAAATGTTTGCGAACTCGCCATCACAGGATAAATGTTTTCCTCTGAATTTGAAATATTGTAGCTTATGTGTTTTGTATAATTATAGTAAATAAATGTTTTTTAAGTTAAATGTTCTACTTACATTTGTACGATATATCTAATAATTTAACTACACCTTGATATAAACAATTACATAAGTTAATGTTTAGAATGAATGCTCGTGAAGGTAGTGAAATTATCACTTAGATATTTTAAAGAAACGTTAGACCTGTATCATAAAACAAAATGTCTTATTTATATTATTATACTATATATTTTATAGGTTACTTACATGAGCAATAATAATCTATACAAAATAAATATAATTGAAGTGTTTGTTTGTAATGTCAATTTAATCGTTTTTTTTCATGCTCACACGATTATTACCACGATACCTGTGCCTAAAAACCAGTTTAAATATTTTTTGTCTGTCTGTTTGTTCTGGATAACTTAAACTTCAAAACGGCTTGACCTTTATATTAGCAGTAAACAAGTTTTTTTCTCTCAGAAAAATCCTAATTTTTTTTGCCCGGTACGGGAATCGAACAAGCACTTTTCAAATTCTATAATATGTAATTTATTTATAACATACTAGTATATACTACTACTACTACTACTACTACTAACATACTACTACTGCGTTAGTGGGTTCGATTCCCGGACCGGTGAAAATTTTAAAGGGTTTTTTTGAAAGGAAGAATAGCCTAAGTTACTCCTTCAGCTAATTTTATTTATTTGTACAGATGAAGACCATACAAATGGTACTCTTGTAACTGTAACGTAGCACAAAAACGAAGAGAAAAGCTGGCGGTGATTAATTATAGTGAAAGTTTTAGAGTGACAGAGTGTGAGTTGTAAACGTTAGGGGCCTAATATTTACCAGGGATTTCCTTTCTAGGGTACTGGTACTCAGACGGCGTGCGGTTTTTAGTCGGTTCGAGTCCGACATAGCCACCGATGGGTGGTGTCCGAGGGGATTTCAGCATACAAAAAAAAGGGGCTAATATTTATTTTAGTTAATGCGAGAATGGCTGGAAGGCGAGTAAACGGCACATACCAAATTGTCAATGACAAACAAAACCGTCAACTTTCAAAGTTTTAGTTCAATTTAAAAGCTAAAACGATTAAATTATTAAGACCTATTATGAAAAATTTATGGACATTTGTTAAATAAACAGAGACCACATTAGTATTTAATAGTGCGAAATAAGTGCGAACGCGGGGCGGAAGTTACTAAAATATAATTTAATTAATTTTGCTTTTTCTTATAGAGCTTCATTACAATTTGGCACGACAACAAGATGAAGACACATTACGGAGAATGAAGCAGTCGTGGGAGAGAAACTTGCCGGATATTAATGATTACTTGGAACACATGCTGCCATTACTGCGGAATGCTTCAAAACAAAACAGTAAGTAATTTTAATAGTTGTTGAACAGTAAATCATAATTATTTTTTATATAAAAGCGGCAGAAGCAAAATGACAAGCAATCGAAATTGTTAGGTTATTAGGTTATGATACCTTATGTCATTTAACTCCTTTATATTTTCCCGAAAGACTTCTAACTTGAAACAAAAGATATTTACATTTGTATAAATATAGATATACATATAAATACGGCCAGTGACTGGACATTATTTGTGGGTACGTTTTACGTACGTACGTACGTTTTGTGTTTCATACGAAAATGATTACAGAATACAGCAGGATATCTGTGCCTCGCCGTCCAGACCACATATAATTCTTTATGCAATGTCAATTAAGCGTGTAGTTTTAGTAGAACTCACGGTGCCGTGGGAAACGAACATCCCTGAAGACCACGAATAACCACCAATGAAATAATTAAAATTGTTATTTTGTTGCGTTGTATGCCGTGGAAGTCGGTGCAATGGGTATGCCAGCTAAATCCCTCTATAACCTGCTTAAAGACCTTGGATTGCCAAAAGCTTCAGTAAGCTCTTTTCTTGAATGAATATCCAAAGCGGCATTGCTAGGCTCGTATCAAATATGGTTAGGAGAGGGGGTAATGCAGCAGACATCGGAGAAGAGCGCTGACGCGTCGCAAGGCGTACTCCCTAAACCTATATCTGGGTCCCAATTCCCAGGCGCTGTCAAAGTCGCATGTGTTGTCCCCATCTATCACGCGATGGACCCAGCACCCGCAAGGTGAATCCATGGAACGCTCAGAAATAGGTATTTTTGGTTTTTATAATACATAAGATTCACTGCCCTGTTGGTCTAGTGGTTAGTGGTCCTGACTACTAAGCTAGTGGTCTGGACTCCCATCCAGGACATATCGTTGAGTAATGAGCATGATCATTTGTTCTGTGTCTGGGTATAATTAATCTATAATATGTAGTATGTAGGTATTTAGCAATATATAAGTATGTTTATCAGCAGACTGGTTACCAATCACAGGCTCCGTCTAGTTTGTGATTAGAATAGCCATTTGAGCTGTGTTAAAACAAGAGAATAATAATATTCTACCACATTTCCACAAAGCCATCTAGTCCCAGACTAAGCAGAACTTGTACTAAATAAATATTAAATGCTTGTGCACACAAACGCTTAATAAGATAAATAGATAACATGATTTTGATATAGTGTTGTTACGCAGTGCACTTTTAAGACGAATTCATTATTTTTAAAGTATTATGAAGTAACAAACAGCAAAAATGTGGAAAGTTTTGTACTGTACACAATATTACATTTTAATCTTCAATTTTTAGAGATTTTTAAATAGAAACACATAAAAGTGTCGTGTAATCTTAACAACACCACTGGGGTGCAACACATTCCTATATCGGACAGGCCGAGTATAGGAAAAAATCTGAAAACTGTACATTTGTATTAAAATCATTATAAATAGTCTTTATTTAATAATTTAAATAAAGCCTAATTTTTTTATGACTATGATTATGATTTTTGACTAAATTTCTTATCCTGATTGATTAAGTACTTTTAATCAAACATCGAGGTACAATTTCACTTATAAAACAATAATATAAGTAAGTATAGGTTTTTTAAACTGAATTTCGGGAAAAGCTCAGCAAAAACTGCTAGACTCGATTCCTGAATTATTTATAATATGTACCTACAAATTTTTACGGAACCCTCGGTGGGTAAGTTCGACTCGCACTGGTCCTGATTTTATTTTTGGTAACCACACCACAGTAATAAATTTCTAACACAAAACTTCTCTTGTGTTTTTATCGATTTCAATTATTGACATTTATATTTCTATTAATAGTAATATGACATCATTGAACTGATGTTAATTGATTGATATTATTTGATTGTCATCTGCAAACAGTCAAATTATATTAATTAAGGAAGATCAAATACCCAAACTCCTGACTAATGACTTAATTTATTTAAAGCGATGATACAATTGCATCACACGTCAGAAATAGTTTAAGGTTTTTTTTGGAGAAGATGAATACTTAAAAACATAATAATTTATAAAAGGCTTTTCCAGAAGTTACTTTAAAAATGGCCATTGAGGTGAACTCTACGACTACCAGTACTATCAGCAACTCTACGATGACTATCGAGATTATTACCACGAAAATTACGAAGTAAAAGTATCTTGAATTTCGTTTTAGGAGTACAAATCTGATAGGACAGGAAAAGAAGGTCGTGATTGAACGACGAATACGAGTCAGCTGAGCACTGACCATGTTTAGCCACGTGTTTTGTTGAAGGAAGGAAGAGCGAGGATCGTTCTTAAGTAAACAGGTGTTTAAGTCACATATCACATATTATAAACTCATGAGTAAAATGAGTTATTAATAATAAATAATTTATTGCCAATATAATGCATTTCGGAAAACGAGTAAAATATATTAAGGTATTATAAAAATTAAAACTAATATCATAAAAAACAATATAAATATAAAAATCTAAAACGTGGCCTCTCCGTTCCTCTATGATACTCTATACCTGCATTTTCTACATAATATTTGACTGCTCCGGAGGTCTATCTATTTTAGTCTCATCTGTTATTAATTCAGGTGGCTTTTCGGTTTTTTTATCAGTACTTTCTTCTAATACTTTATTTTCTGTCGTTTCAAGTATTTTTTCCTGCTCTGGTTTCCCCAAAACAGAAAGATCATGTTCAGATGATTGTAAGTCTTTAAAGTGATGACCACTTTCTGTTCGAGTTGTTAACTTTTTATGAATTGATATAGTTGATTCAGTTGCCTCCGTCGGATTTTGAATTATAGACAGTGATGATCTTTTAAATGACAATTGAGAGAGTGCCAGATCCTTTAATATGGATTTTTGGATCTCTATTTTGCTGGCTAACAGTTGCTTTTCAAGATCAGTCTTATTATCTTTACTTAACTCAGATTCCTCATCGTCTGAAGCCGTTGATTGTGTTGACGATACAAATGATGACAGACTTGGCTTGGCCTCCGATATTACTATTTTATTATCTGATTTAATAGATAAAGCATGCATACTTGGAATTGTTTTAAGACTACCGCTAGGCGAAGAACTTAATAAAGAGGGAGCAGTTTCACTTTGCTCTGATTCTCTTCCCGATTGCAGTTTTTGAGCTTGAGATATGTGAGAATACTCGTAACCAGATTGCCAGGATGTTTTCTGTTTCGGCTCAGGCTTAGGGAGTAACCCAAGATCTCCTTTATTGTAAATATTGCTAAAGGAAGCTATAGTGGCTAATGATTCTGCTCTTTGTGTTTCACGGAATTGCGTCACGATTTGAAGTAAGTTAGTGAGAAGTAATTGCCTATCCATTGCTTGTCGCTCAGGGTTAGAGTGAGCCCACTGATCCAGTTTCAAAGCAGCTTGAATAGCAAAAGCAGCATTTTGTAATATTTTTCGTAGTTTATCTCGCTCTTTACTTATTTTACACGCATCAACTATGTCTTTATTGTGACCACACAATTTAGCATGTAAATTTTGTTCTAAAATACGCACTTGTAATGTTAGATTATCATTTTCTTTGGTTAGTTTTTCTACTTTTGCTTGCAAAGCTTCAAAATCGCGAATTTTCTTATCACATAGAGCTTTTCCCTTTTTAATTTTCTCAAATGCGGTTGTAAATTGATCAATCACTTTGAGTTGAATAACACTTTTGTTAATAGCTGTATCTCGTTCTTCTTCGGCTACTTCTTTTGCAATGAATGCAGCTCTAATATTTTCTTTGTACATTTCATTTTGTTCTGATATTTTTTGTTGGGTATTTAAGATATTATCTAATTCATTGCTTATGGCAATATTTTCTCTGATGACTCTATGAGTAGATGCAGCAATTCTAATTTCAGTTGCGTCTTGGAAATCTTGAGCTAACTGCAATAGTCTTGCTTCCATTTCTTTTTTTAGTTTATCTTTACCAATAACAAATTTCTTTTCAGTTTCATAGATAATTCTTTTGTAGCACATTTCTTGATCTATAAATTTTTGTTCTTGCGCATTAAATCTTTGCATGAGATCGTCTCTAATAAACCTAAATTCCTCAAGAGTATTTAGTTTGCCTGCTAATAACTTATTTTCAGATGTAAGTTGATCTTTCATCCTAGTGAAATTATTTTGCAGTTCTGTGACAGTTTCATGGAACTGTATAGTCTCTCTATCTCTTATTTCTATAAGGCCATCCACTTTTTCTTTCAGCTCGTTATATTCCTCAATTTTGGTATTAAGCTGTTTTTTCAAAAAAGCAATTATATCAGCCCTATCTTCATCTAGTTTTTCAAGGGCATTCTGTAATTCTTCATTGCATGCCTCATATTCACTTACAGAAGATCTAAGTCTAGCAATCTTTCGATTACATTCGGCCACTTCCTGTTCTAATAAAGTTCTTTCTACCTGATTAAATATTCCAGCGTTTTCATTCTTTTTACCTTTGTCTTTTTTAGGTGCCATTGTTTAAATGTAAATAAAGTTATTACAAAAATACATAAATCGTATCAAAATCGCGTCACCGTGTGCTAAACTAAAAATATATTGACAGAACTTCACAGGTTGCTATGTTACTAGTTACGACACAACAAAACAGTATGGTAACTAAAACTCTTTTTGAAAAAAAATCGGGCAAATTTTGCTAATTCTATATCTTAATAAAAAGTGAGTTGTATTTTTTTAATTTTTTCTTACATATTATTCATTTTTTATGATAATCCTTGAATTTTTAGACAATCGTAATTAAAAACAATCAGCGAGTAAAAATAGCGATTCTTTTTTGGCCATAAAGAGCTAGCTGCTGTACACATGAGCCATGTGTACAGCAAGCGATGGCGCTTCTTCCTTTGTTTTTAATTTAAACAATAAAAAAAGCGGTAGCTTTTTACTATTGTGGTTACTGTTTCTTTTCATGAGTATTTTATGAGATTTTATTATTAAAATGTTCTAAACTTATCAGTAACTATGGTCATTCATTTTTCAGGGGCGATTTCGAAGCAAAAATACCACCGATATCGTGAGTCAGATTCTCGTGTGTATAAAAATGATAACTATATAGTTAGATAACTTTTTAAAAATATTTCCTACAAGTAAGATTTTAAATTATTAATAAAATGTGTAGATTCAAAGGCGTTGTATAAATACTTTTTCCATTAGATCAAAAGGTAACAGATAACAACCATAATAAATATTAGAATTTTATGTAATTAAATAATCAAATAACCTCAGACCATCTACGGCTTCTAGATGACGTGGGATATCCTGTGTGGGAACCCTGATGTTTTCTTCCTGCCCCTGAAGAGCGTGCGCAACTACTCACCTTGGCTTGCTTCTGCTAGGTTTACAGACTGCCACCCCCAATCCTGCGCTTACGAAGGACGGAGGTCATGCCATATCTCATAGAAAGCTCGATGCCTGCGAGTGTCTCCTACTCTGAGGCTGGATTCCTCAGGTGGCTTCCCACGAGGTCTATGAAAGAACAAGGCCACGGAATTGTGCAGAACCACAGCATTTGACGGCGACACCACCACGAAGTAACCAGTCGTACCCGATGTTCCACAAGAGTGGCCCTACGTCTACCGAGATCGGATGGACGACGGCTCTCTCCGACGACTATGCGGCGGCGGAGAGAGGCACTTCGTGAAACACGAGCGCCTCCCTGATGCTACTCCAGGGCAAAGTGTTGAACGCGTTGGCATGTCCATAGACACTGCAACATCACTTTGCCCGTGGCAACAAGCCCGCACGCGCATGATCGCATCCACGGTGGATCACATCCAGCGCCTCGGAAACCGGTCAACCGCCTTGCAATCACTCTTTCGAATAGTTTGCACACCTCGTCAAGCAACACTATAGACCGATAGGCGGATGGTAAACTAAACTAAACCGAGTTTGAAAATTATTTCACCAATGGAAAGCTACATTATCAGCGAGTAACATACTTTTACGATAACCGACATATACGCGGGTGGAACCATGGGCAAAAACAAGTATGCAATTAATATACTAGCTTTTGCTCGCGTAGTCTGTTATGTTTTACATATTTAAGTAATCTGATATAGTATAGATGTAAAAGGCACTCTAATTATCTCTCCTTAGAGGCAAGATTAAAAAAGAAGTACTAAGTCGGTAATACTTAACTTAATAAGATAAATAATTTGTAATCTTAATTATGTAATTAATATTAAATTGGGATTCGAGAAGTTTGTGTCGACAGCGGTATAGTGAAATTCGCTTAGAATTTGTCAATAAGTTTACAGAACATTTCATTTTCTGTTTAAAATTTCTCCTTGCATAAACATAATGAAAGAGAAATCCCATTGAGTGTTTAACGATAAAGTTTAAATAAAAAAGGAATCGGCATAAATACTACTAGTCTGGTCTACTTATACTGCTAGTCTTTGTGGTGTATTTTTAAAAGGAGTTTGACCTCAAAACCACATTTCTTCATACGAGTAAATAAAATATTAAGATACTCGATTATGGATTGCAGTAGTTGGTCGATGTCAAAGGTTTCAATTTTAATATTGTAGTTAACAAACCAAAACCGTGCTAAATTGTGTCTAAACTAAAACTACACCTAAAGTAGAAGTTTGTTTGAATTGCTTATCTCAGGAAGTACACTGCCAATCTGAATAATACCCATTCCGTTATATATACCATAATCTTATCTATACAATGTAGCAGTCCTGCAAAATAGGAACACGTGTAGAAGTAATGGTTCGAACAAGTAAAACGGAGGTTAAATATTGTTTAAAAAGAATCGATCAATCGAGTTTTTGTTCGAAGATGTTAGTTGAATGGTTGTCACTATGGTTCAGAGACAACTCAATTTCATGATCCAAAGACAACCTCCGATTAAACTAATTTATGTAAATGACATTGACAGTCAATGCGAAGTTAGATTTTACTTTCAATTTAGTTATTAATTGGGATTAATTTAATAATTGATTTTTAAGATTAATTGATTAAGTTAATAATTGGGATTGTGCGTTATGAGGTGGACTTTTTGTTAACTGATCCGATTAAGATCACGGTTGGTAAAATAGTAATAAACATAACTTTTAAAATGAAACATATTTTACGGGACTTAGGCAGTATAGCTGCTCCATTTCGCTAATTAAAACCGACCGTATAGGGTTTGTTTCAAGTTTTCCTCCTCTTTGAAGCGATGTTATCCTTGGTAGTTTGCTCCCTAAGACACCCAAGGGAGAAATAGGGATAGTGACACTCAGTATTCTTAATCTGTCAGCACACGGAATATTCTTAATCCGCCACCACACATAATGAAGCCACAGCACCACAAAAGTATATACTAAGCTATATTTTTATAAATTTGTTAAGTCTTAAGTTTATAAGTTAGTATTCAACGTAGTCGTGGTTAACTCGGTCTAATGTAACATTTCTTGTTTAATCTATTCATCTAAGCCTCAGATAAATTAAAAACAATCTGTTATAATTAAAATCTATCTAGTGGTTAAATGTATCAATTTCAGTGAAGCCATTGTAGCCAGCAGACGAGTAGGCCTACAAAAACAGCAAGTAGCCGTACATACTTAACGCAACACCGAATCACGGGACTATCGTACGATGCTACGTAATATCGGATGATCGCCTACATCATATGGTCTGATAAGGCGGCGCCGGATCCCCAGCTACCTGTAAGACCTGTAATAGGCTACGCCTACTTAACATGGCCGACTATAACCCTTTGTTTGGGTTGCGCCGGCGCAAAATGGCCGCCGGTTGTTTATTGTTCTCGGATTGACGCCTACCTGAGAAAATTGACAAGTCCGAACAGTTATCAATTATAAAAAGTGCCAGGCGTTATCGTTTAGTATTATTAATTATTTTTGTGTATAAAAACCCGTGTTGTTTTGTATTAGATACAGTCTGGTTTCTGCTAAAGTGGTCTTAACCTTGACCACTTCACCATTACCGTTTACTATGCTAGACGGACTCTTGGAATGACTGTTTTATTTCAGTTCAAACCCAGACGATTCTATTAGACCTCTCATAGCCTTTTCTAAAATTTTCGGCAAGCAGGATAATTACACTAAATATAAATATTGTTTACAGGTTACCATTCAGTGGAAGAATACTGGGATAATTTAGGTGAATACGAAGGTGCCATTTTGAAAGCTCGAGAAATATGGGAAAATGTAAAACCTTTGTACACGAAGCTCCACAAGTACATAGCACTAAGGCTCAAGGGGTCTGAAGCAGTTGGCAAATCTTTACCAGTACATTTGTTTAGTGAGTAACATATACGTTTATGTGTCTGCTTACTATTTTTGATATAAAAATATCAGGATTTGTGAAACAGAAGGCACGGGTCTAGTGGTTAGTAATCCTGACAACCAAGCCAGGGGTCGTGGGTTCGATTCCCACTCATCACAAATGATTATGCGGTGAGCACGATCATTTGTTCTGTGTCTGGGTGTAATTTATATATAATATATATGTATTTAGAAATGTATAAGTATGTTTATCAGCAGTCTGGTTACCATAGCACAGACTCTGCCTAGTTAGGAATCAGACGGCCGTGTGTGAGATGTGTGAACTTATTATTAACTGTATATATTAGTATTGTTATACTTACAGTTATAAATTACAGCTGTTATAATTTGGTCTATCATCGTCGTATTGATGGCAGAAATATCCTCATGATCTCGTCACTTTAATATTAATATTATATATATTTGATTCTGTCTGTATATTAGATAAATCTGTATTTGTGTATTCGTCTATGTAAAATTATATATGACGGAGGATCGGTGTCTGGGTTGTTTCTAAATAAAGTGACGTCAGCAAAATCTGATATCATTCTTTATATTGTAATGGTTTTCTTTCTAAAAGCTGTAGTAAATAACAACAACAATAAATACAAGTAAAAATGTATTCCAAGTTCTTACCGACAGTCGTACATAGATCCATACGGCAAGTAAATAAAGACAACAGTAAATACAATTAATTATGTATGTACGACTTTTGGTGAGACCTTGGAGGTCTCACCAAAAGTCGTACATAGATCCGAACAGCCCGACAGCTCGAGCGAGAATGACCGAGTACACGCAATTCCGTACCGACCGAGACGTATTGCTCGCGAACGTGTTAACATGTTGTTAAGTTGTGTTGTATCTCCTTGTTGTGTTTAGATAATACGATTCTTCAGGTTATTTCTTAATACTAACTATCAAAACTTAAATTATAATACATTAGCATCTAATTTAAATCAATCAAATTCTTTTTATTAAGTGAGGTAGTTTGTGGTTGCTCCGACATATATATATATTTAATTTTATATTTATAAATGTTTAGTTCATAGCTTCTTTTCATTGCACATTTGCACCTTTCATGTCCCTTACTGAACCATCTAAAGGTTGACTGGTAGATAATGTCATGTGGAATTAAGTCCACCTCATGAAAATAGTAATGCAGTAAGTGTAAAAATAAACTAAAAAATAACAAATTAATAAATAAGTTTGAATATTTTTTTAACCAATTTGCTCCTTTGTGATTTTTTTTTAGTCAAACATGTAATTTTTAATACCGTCAAAAGATGACCTACAAACTATTAAAAATGTATTTTTTGTAGATTGTCATAGGCAATTGAAATTTAAATTAAAAGCTACAAAGCTGTTCTGTGTCATAGTCATAACTGACTAACTAAGCTATTTATTTCGACTTACCTGATGATACTAATTTCTTCACATTATGCAGCATCTCTGAAAACTGAAATGTATGGTATAATTTAGTGAGGGTATTGACAACTGACTAAATGACCAGATCGTTCGTTATAGTATAAGTTCGTTCTTTTGTCATGTACAATTATAAAATCCTAGCGTAATGATATTGAATACTCAATATAATACCTTGACGCGTAAATAGTTTTTACACATAATATTCGTCATTTCAGAGTCTTTAACCGGTAATGACTGGTCCAACCTAATAGAAAATCTACTGCCAAAACATGCTGGAATATACCAAAAAATACATGCAAATCTTCAGTTAAAGGTAACCACAATCAATTTATCAACAGTTTGATTAATATAATTTAATAGAAATGGTAATAAAAACTATTTTTTGCAGGATCTCGGTGGTGTTAAAGCTTTCAAGCAAGCAGCAAAACTGATAAAAGCATTAAATTTAGGAGAAGCAAATGAATCAATTTTCACTGAATCCGTGTTTAACAGTACTTGTCCACCAACACTGATAGATTGGTGCAAACCAAATAATGTTAAAGTGATAACATGTAAAGACGTCAGCATAGCCAATTACATAGAGGCCCATGAAGCCGTCATGAAGATAGTTTATAAACAAACTATTAATTTACACAGCAATAACACTTATATTTTGAGAGAAGCATCCCGCTATTCCGGTAACAACCAATCTACTAGTTTTAAAGTTGTTCCTTAAGAACTTTTCAACCTTACCATTTTGTTTTTTTTCAGCTATATATGAAGCCATTCCTGGATTCGTGTCTTTACTTTCGCTGAATCCATATGCTTTGAATCGAGCTGAATTGTTTCCGTTAGAAATGTTCAATTACAACCCTAACTATCATCGTCTTGTGTTACAACTCATAATGGCTTTGAAAGATTTACCCAAGTAAGTTTTTTGTACATAAAGTCACCATCTTTAAAACCGACGAATTTTAACAGTAGCTCTAATTCTGTAAGTCTTAAGGCAAAAAGAGACCAGTTAAAAAATTTCTTGTACGTCTACCTATCCGTCCCTCACAGCCAATACGTATCTACTGGAGCGATTAATTTAAACTTTAAGATCCACAAATTGTTGTTCTGAATCTGGGTGTTATATGTGTCCATTTGAATGAATGTTCGTAAAGTCCCCGGCGGCTCATTATATATTGCTAGTGCGACAGTTTTTTTTTAACTTGCTACACTTTTCTTTATTCCATTTGGGGTTGGCGCAAAGGTTTCGACTAACTTCTTTTTTGGCCGGCCCCCGACTTAGGGCCTTGGAAATGTATTTCTTTTTAAACGGCACAAAGGAAGAAGGTGAACTAGGGTAAAGAATACGGACTGCTCAACAGGCAAGGAAGCTAGGATAAGGGTTACCGAAAGCCTCGTATGGGAAAAAACCGAGTCTCAGTTATGGAAATAGCTTGAAAAGGCCGGGGTCCGTAATTGAATCATATGACGGACATTCAACTGGGCTGGGACTGGGATATCAACAACCATATTTTATTATATTTAGCTAGTTCTACTGAACTCGTCTGAGAATTATGTAGACTGTAAATGATCATGATTTTGTTTCAGACTTAACTTCTATTTAGCTGCTGATGAATGGAGAATAAAAGTTTTGATGGGCACCATCCCATATGCAAAGATACCGAGTAGTTGGAGTGACTTTCGTAAAAATTTCTCTTTCATCGAAACATCTAACGTTGATTTTCTTGGAGACCCGTACATGGTTTTCAATAAACCTTTTATTGGGTGAGTAGCACAACAAAGTGAAGATTCTTATATAAAAAAAATAAGATACTTTAATAACACACATATTTAAATGTAGACAGTTACTAAAGTCTATAACTGTCAGAGTTCGCGAGACCTAAGATGAGCTTTGCATTTGTGTGAGTGATTACTAATAGTAGTCAGACAAAAAACTTCTAAAAATAAATTTTATTATGTTCCTACTTAGGTTCTTAACATAAGTGTGCACAGTGTTGGGTTTAGGCCCGGTTTATCAACTGAGAGTGCTGTTCTCTGTCTCTGTCCAGTACTATACAGCTAGAAATACACCTGTATACGCTTGTTATTTAGATCTCTCAAAAGCTTTTGACCTTGTTAATTATGATAAGCTGTGGCAGAAGCTACAATGTGATACGTATCTACCACTTGATATTGCAGCTCTGTTTAAATATTGGTACAGTCAGCAGAAAAATAGGGTAAGATGGTCGGATGCGCGGTCGGACATGTACAGGTTGGAGTGTGGCATGAGGCATGGTTGTATATCCTCGCCTCGTCTCTTTAATCTGTCTTTGAATGGGCTGATCGGTGAGCCCAGTAGCGCAAACATTGATTGTTCTATTGATGGTGTGTGCATAAATAATATAAGCTACGCTGATGACATAGTGTTGCTGCGCCCATCGATTGGTGCACTACGTAGGTTTATAGGTCTGTCTGTGAGACATATACGGCCAGTCATGGCCTCAAGTATAATGCCAAAAAGAGTTAGTTATAATCTTTAAAGCTGCTATCAAATGCTACTTAATTGTACCTCCAGTCACCCTTTGCGGAACTCCTTTAAAGAGAGTAATAAGTTTAAGTACCTTGGGCACTGGGTCGCCGAAGACTTATCAGATGACTTTGATATTGAGAGGGAGCGTAGGGCGCTGTCTGTCAGGTGTAATATGTTGGCTCACAGGTTCGCACGTTGTACCACACCAGTCAAGGTTACTCTTTTCAAAGCATATTTTCAGTCCTTCTACACGTGCAGCCTGTGGGCTAACTTTACGCAGCGGGCATAAGTGCCTACGTATCCAGTACAACAATGCTTTCAAGGGTGCTATTGAATTTGCCGAGGTTTTGTAGTTCATCAAACATGTTCGCGAATGCACATTGCGATGACTTTTATGCGATCATAAGGAAGCGGAGCGCGGTCGCGCGAGTGGTAGACGCAAGACGCTGTGACCATGTTCTCTACGTAAAATGACAATTTTATATTCAATAAATCTTTGTTTATTTTGCAGTTGATAGAGTTTTGGTTTAATCATCAATGTAGAGTGATTGATATTGCGATACATGAACCAGTCAATCATATTTTATAATAATAAAAATAAACTTTTTATTTCAGACCATGGTGTCCGATTTGTTAGTAACAATATTCTTAGAGACTAGTGTTAGTTACAGTACACAAAGAAAACAAAGAAAGATCGACATATACACACAACAATCATTGCTGCGCCATTCCGTACGCAATTGCGCAGCAACGATTGATGTAACCACAGTCCAGCCGACCTGAGATCATGTTCAGGATACTATTGACGCTGCCGCGCACCCTGCGCACCAGAGATGTGCATCTTTTACGCATCGTAGCATAAAAACAATCTACGCGATGTTCAGCAAACATCCCTGATGCACTACAGAAACGCTGCAGCCCCAGCAGCACCCTGAAGGCGTTATTGTATTGGACTCGGAGGGCACTCTACGGTGCTTGAGTATAGTCAGCCAGTGTAAAATGAAGTGCAGTACGATTTGAGTTAGGAGCGGCATTATCTCACAAATTGTAGTAAGATGCATTGTCTACCACCACAACGCAATTGGGCTTTAAATTTGGAAATTATTGCCTTTGTAACCATTTTGTGTAGTTTTCTGCATTCATATTGTTATGGTAATCACCACTTTTTTATATGCTTTGAACATCAGCAGTGCATTTCGTATAAAACCGTCCTTTCCGCCGGCATGAAATTATTGTAAAACTATTTCCTTTAGAAATGGGTTTCTGCAAACCAGAAGTGCTGCATATGATTAAGATCTCGAAGAAGTGTGAGTTGTGTCTATATATGTTTCGCCGATATAAACGACTGGCCGGCCCTGAATGTGATATTCGGGAATCTTAATTTAAAAAAATATACGTAGACAACGTATCTCATGTTTTTCCATTAGAATTTTTAATTTTCTTATGACCTTTGTCATTTAAATCTTAAAACAGACACTTCTTTACGCAATGGCCAAATTGTATAGTTTATTTTTGTCTTCAACTTTCCATGTATTCGCTTCATAGTTGGCACCTCTTTATGAGTGATGTGAAAGTTTTGAATAGTTCTTTGAATTATGGCTTTTAATTAAGCATTTGCCTGCATCTGGTCTTTTTGTGAGATTTGAATTTGATTCCGTCTTCCAAAAGACGTTTACATTCCGTGGACGGCGGAATTCCCATCGATGTCGCTTACCTATTGGGCTGATGAAGTGACACTTGACATGTCTTCATCGTTCATGTCTTCAAAATTCAAATTACTTTATTGTGAATATAACTACATATTTAAATTACACAAAATTACTTTAACTTGGCTATTTAAAGGTTTTCGTAGTCTTCGTTTATTTGTCTTGGCATCCATTTCACTAATAAATCGAATACAAAAACAAAATATTAAGAATTAAACACGTCACGCTGCTACTAGTACAAGAGGTGAAGTGAGGAAGGTGCGCTGCGGAGTAGCGGCCCCCCAGGGGGCGCACCGCGCCTCAGGCCGATTGCTAAAAAGCAGTATAAACCGGTTTAAACCAAGCAAAGGACGCAACGCGCTCTAGGCCGACGTCACACCTACACTATCTATGTGCACTCACACAAATGCAAAGCTCAGCTTTTCCTCGCAGACTTTACCCTATTTTTTTATGCCTAAGAGACGGTTATAATTTTAAGATATCGATATGAATAAAAGCTGCGTAATTAATAATTGAGTTCTATATTCTTTTTTCTTGCAGAAAATTTATGGGTCTTATTCTAAAATATCAAATTTATCAATCATTTGCTGAAGAGATGATGTCTGATAATTCTGATTTAGTTGAACATATCGCTGAAAATAACTACAGATTAGTGTAAGTATAGAATTATCAATTTTAATTTAAAAATTAATTCCAATCCTACTATGACACTACTGACACTTATTATTTTATTACAGAGATGCAATGATGCAAGGCTTCGGATCTCCTTGGCCTGATATGGTCAGTGATCTTTTAGCAAAGCGAGAATATGGTCTAGAATATACAGGGCTTACTGATTACTACAAATTTCTGGACGAATACTTAGATAATCAATTAGATCCAGGGGCTGAGAATGAAAATTCTGACGATTACGTAGAACCCATCGTGGATGAACCAATCCTTGAAGAAAATGAAATTCCTGACTCAGCTCCTGAACCACGTGAGAAAATCGATACACATAAAGAATACATTATTGATTTAAGTGAAAAAACAAGCTCTGAATTTACTGTAGAAACGACTACAGTAGGAGCTTTAGAAGTAAAGAATCCCGTGGCATCTGGGGACCAAAAAGAAGAGACAAATACGAAAGAGGCATCGTATAACACTTACTGGTGGATAGGAATAGCTGTGGCTTTGGCTGTTATTGTAATACTCATAGCAATAATCGCGAGAAAACGCCACAATCACAGAAAACAGCTAGAAAAAGAGCGAAGAGACAACTCACGAGCCTGATTTGAAGAGTATCGGTTCTAGAAGTGGAATCGATACACAGAGACACAAATGTTCAGATATAGTGAATTAGTGCTAACAGAGTTCAAGTTCAAAGACATATTTATATTCAGTGTACTCTTTTGTATAATTGGCTTTTGTTTGGGGAATTTATATTTATAATAGATTTTACTTATTATTTCTGTATCATTACTACCGTCACATACCATGCATTTAATTATTTATTCTCAAAATGTTTAATTTCCAATGAGTGGTTAAGAATATTGCTAGATTATAAAGATGAATAAATATTTTTGTACATATCACAATTTGCAAAATAGAATAAAAGATTGTTACCGAGAGTGTCTATAGTTGTATATTCTAGTTAGATGTAATTTTGCTGTGCCTTAAGCGTCTCAATTTCTAATAAATAAGATGCATAAGATATGATAGGAATTATCAAATTTGTATAAATATAATAGTAATTTTATAGTCTCTATTTACCTACTTTCAACTTCGAAAATTTTCCGACCAAAGTCTTGTACTTGTGTTAATTTGAAAGTTCTATTTTATAAATGTATGTTTTGGTTAATATAATGTTTGAAACAACTGTATTCTTGTCGTAATGAAGTAAAAACTATATATGTTTAACTATTTATGTTTTAATTTGATGTTGCTCGTAATTTATATGTTGTTTGAAGCTTTACTAAAGTAAAGCATTTAGTAATTTGTGTCAACGATTGAAATGAGGAAATAATAAATGTTTTGAACATTAGTATTTACTTTTATTCAAGATAATATTTAGTTTTTTAATCACACACTAGGCGTGATTTTTTTAACCTATTGCTTATTACACGCATTTCTGCTTTTTATAAGTGTAAATTTATTATTTGGAGAGTAGAGTTATTACTAAAGTCCTAGGTACCTACTACTAAAGCCTACTACTTATTTAGGTTGGTTCTCTCATTGGCATTATTATTTTGACAACTGAATAGGTTAGACTAATACCATACTACTCTACCATAGGTATTATAATACAAATTATCCCAAATACTGGAATAATATGAAACTTAATGAATGCCACATGAAGCCAACTTGAACTAAAGTTTCGTTTACCTACTAATTACTACTTCTAACATGATTTCCACTTAAAACGACATCATCATTTAACACACATCTACCCCATTTGATAATTTAAATTATAGTAATTAAGATCTACCATTTTTTTCAATTTAACATATTCAAATTGATTTCATGTTTATGTCAAAATATTAAAATGCGCATGGTGATAACATCATCTAAGGCGAGGTACATGATTATCAGTCGCCGTATCTGCTTTCCTTGTCCCAATTCACTTTCTTCCTTGATTTTGTCTGAACAAAATTACATACCCTTAGAGGGTTGATAGTCAAGTAAGCCGGCCGGCCACAATGTAGAAGCTAAAAACTTGCAACACTAATGTGTAATTCGTGCAGTTACCGTTATTGACAAAATACGTGGAAAATGACACTATTTTACAATAATAATACTTTTACATTGCAGTCAGTTCGAAAAACCACCTCTTGGCATATCATTAAAATTACAAGAAAACACACTTCATGCACTTCATGTCAATATTTTTGTGGCTTCGCTACAGTAATAACAAATTAAATTTGCAATTTTTTTTATTATTTTACATATATTTTTTTACTTGCATAATTATATTTGGTCTGTTTTAGTCTATATGATTCTAGTTTTTTTTTCATATGGAATCCACCACTGGTCATTACTTCACCAGAGCTGAGGGTCAAATGATACGTCTGACTTGAACCGACTAAAACCACACGGTGTTCCGTCGCAAATGAGTCTATCAGGGTACCGTAACAAGGGAGCCACCGAGAGCCCTTGTCGACTTTGGGCACATGATAAACAGGTACCAGTACGACAGTATGTGCGTAACATACGGGGTCTCGGCGACCGACCCGGGTGCATTCTCCTCGCCATCATTAAGAGGACACCTAATCTGACACCGGGGATATTTGAAGTGGAGGAGATGTTGGGAATCCCCGGTGTGAAAATTGAGGCCTGGCGCAGAAAGAAGAGGCACGCACAATGCCGCCGCTGCCAACAATTCAGGCATTCTAGCCAACACTGCCACGATGCGGCGATGAGCACCCCGCTGCGAGCTGCCCTAGGCCACTAGAGGAGCCCGCCACATGCGCCAACTACTGAGGAGAACACCCGGCAAATAACTCGGACTGCCCCGTTTTCCAACGCAAGCAGCGTAACAGGAAGTCCAGAACGGTTGCCATCACCAGTGAGTCGCGCCAAGGGCCGACACCGGTGAACTCACAGCCCACCGGGGAGAGGCCACAAGGGGTCCCGCTTATGGCGGCAGCGAACCCCGCACCTCAATGAGGAACATCCACCTCTTCCAGAAGAGGGCGAAGGAAGAGGGGCGGTAGAAAGCAAACCACTGCCCCTGCTACAGATACCCAGGCTGATCACGCCGCGGAGGGGCCGGACCGCCATCACTCCAGCCTCCACCGCTGTCACTATCTCCCAAAAGAGGGAGGCAGAGAGGTCCAAACCGACTCCCAGCGAAAGCACTCACGGGCGAACAATCGCCTTGTTAGCAAACGGGGACAACAACGCAAAAGCGGTCATCCTATTCAGCCTAAGGACTCTACAAGAGATGTTGGCTGCCTTAAGCCAGGAGCAGGAAAAAGACGCCATTACAAAAATCACCGCCAGGGCCATAACTGCCCTAATGACTTGGGAGGCGTAGGTGCCCTGCTCCGCCAACTCTCTTTCCTATTTTATTTTACTTTCTGCACTAGCCTACCCACACATATGACCTATACCTTATTGTTACAGTTCTTGTTGCTACGCGGCCCGCGAGCAACTGTGGTTTCCTGGGCCCAAGTAGGCGCACCGTGTGTGGGCGTCGGTGACCGCCGCAACAATAACAAAAACAACAACAACGGGGCTCCCCGTAGAACACATCCCGGATTAGACACCAGAGGGGTTGCAAGGGCGGGTTGTATCGCCTGGGGTCTCACCTGGCTCGGGCTTGACCGCCGAGGCGACGTGAAGACCGAAGCAACCCCTCCCAGACAAGACCGAAAATTCAAATAGAGCGCCCCATGACCTACCCCTATTTATCGGTAGCGGTAGACACCGCTGGCAGGGGGCAAAAGCCCTGATCCAGCCACCACAAGTCCCCTGCGGGACGGTGTGAAGACCAGCAACCATACGGGTATCGTTTTACGACACAGCGAATTAACATCGAAGCGAATTTCTAGTGCGACTAACAAGTTATATAGTGATTTCTAGTTTGCAATAGTGAGTGTTTGTAATTACAGTGCAATAAAAGTAATTAACCGACAACTTTTATTTATTGTATACACCACTCGTAACAATACCTTAGCCTAATTGGATAGCTTTCCGCTTATAACAATTTTATAGTTAAGTATTGTGTACAGAATGGATTTTGTAATACTTTGTAAAATACATAGAGACTAGATAATTAAAAAGAAAAGAGTGAAATTAATATTTTGAATAATACTATGATTTAAGTGGTTATCGTAAATAAACGAAGCAAGTTGTAAAGTAATATTCTGAGAATGTATTTAAAACAAATTCATAAAATAGTAACTAGTGTAATATGAAATAAAAATTATAGCAATGAAGAAAAAGTATCTATTCTGAAACTTTTCCTATTCTGTTTTGTCATCTTGATCAATAGGATTGTCACTATCCTCAATAGGTTTATCTTCAGCTTGTTCATCTGTTACTAGTTCCTGCTTTTGCGCTTCTTCATTCTCTGGTTTTTCACCTTCTGACTCTTCACCTTCAGTTTTTTCATCTTCATCTTCCTCATATTTACTATGTTTACTCTCAACTTCACCAACTTCTTCACTTTCTCGCCTTTTTCCTACTGTCGACTCGGATATTTTCAATTTTGAGGAAGGTTCCAAGGTTTCAGCTCGAGATTTTGAATGTAAACCAGTACCTGATAGAGCTAAATCTTTCAAAATAGATTTTTGAATCTCTAATTTACTAAGAGCTAATTGTTTTTCTACATCGGTCAAAGCTTCAAAAGAGTCTTCAGGTACAATGTCACTTTCACTCACGTGAGAATGAATTGATGTCACTGTAAATGACGGGATACTCTCCCTAGATGATATAGAAAGATCTTCCCGCTGAGGCATTATGTCAAGGCTAGGCATAGTTTTCACCGTTCCTAGTGAAGATATCGTTGTTGAAGCGGCTGCGGTGCTACGCTTAGGTGCAACTGATTCCTGTGATTTTGTGGCTTCGACTAATGTTTTCGATTTTCTAGCAAGTGCTTTAGGTTTTGGAACAAAACCAAGATCTCCCTTTTCATACACATCAGTCAGTGAAACCAATGAATCAACAGATTCAGCGCAAATTGCACGATGGTGTTGGTTTATGACATCAAGAATATTTGTCAATACTACTTTTCTTTCCAATATTTCGCGTCTAGGGTCTATTGTGGCCCATAAGTCAACTTTTAAAGCTGCCTGTATAGCAGATGTAGCGCTTTTTATTACTTGTTTGTACTTGTCACGTTCTTTCGTGAGTTTTTTTGTTTCAATTATGTTTTGACTTTGTTGGCCTAAACAGCTATGTAGATTTTGTTCAAGTATGCGTATTTGTAAAATCATGTTTTCATTTTCCTTTGTAAGTTTTTGTACTTTTACCTGAAGATTATCTAAATCATATGCTTGTTTGTCATGTAAAGCTTTATTTTGGCTGGCAGTTCTAAATGCTGTTGTTAACTGTTCAATAACTTTAATTTGTACAATGCTCTTATTGATTGCTTTATCTCTTTCAGCTTCTGCAACCTCCATAGCGTTGCGTGCCGCTCTCTCATCTTCTTTATATTTTTCATTTTGTTCAGCCACTTTTGCTTGTGTCAATAATAAGCTATCTAACTGATTATTTAAAGCAATATTTTCTCGGATTACTCTATGTGTAGAAGCAGCTATTCTAGCTTCACTTGCATCTTGAAATTCTTGAGCAAGTTGAAGAAGTCGCCCTTCCATTTCCTTCTTTAGTTTATCCTTACCAATTACAAATTTTTTTTCAGCATCATAAATTACTCTTTTATATTTCATTTCTTGAGCTTCAAACTCTCTTTCTTGTTTTTCGAATTTTTGCATAAGAGCATCTTTAATGGCTCTAAATTCTTCAAGTGTATTAAGTTTTCCAGCTAGAAGTTTATTTTCTGAAGTAAGCTGGTCTTTCATGGTAGTAAAGTTCTTCTCTAATTCACTAATTTTCTCTCGGAATTGTGCTGTTTCCAGCTCTCTTAATTCTTCTAAGCTTTTAACCCTATCTTTAAGTTCAGCATTTTCCTCATTTTTTACATTGAGTGTTTTTTTTAAATAGGCAATAATATCTGCCCTATCTTCATCTAATTGATCGTATGCATTTTGTAGGTCTATATTTCTTTGTTCATACTCAGCAATACTCGCTCTGAATCGAGCTAATTTCCTGTTGAGATCTGCTATTTGCAACTCATACATAGCTTTATCGACTTCACGGAATGCTTGATTCCTTTGTCCGCTAGGCGCAGGAGCTGGCGGTTTAGGTGCCATAGTGAATAAATATACTTTATAACTATTTACAAAGTTAAAATAATACAATAATAAAAACAGACACGAAGTACAAGCCTTCAAAACGAATGTTAAAATTTTTTGACAGCTTTTATATACTTACGTCTCGTGCGGTTACGTCACCTGATAGAATTATTTTTTCTTAAAAAACATAAAAGAAGTATAGTAAGTAAAATGTTTTATTATATTTTTTATATTAAACCTGTAATGTACGTATAATTATAATAATAATAAATCATTATTCAGGTAATTTTACAAAATTAGTTACTGCTGTCTAGTTAAAGTACATCAAAGAATATACATGGGGCAAAGGGCGGGTTGTGTCTGACTCTCAAACTAGGTGTGTACCTGTGTTTTGACTCATCAGTGGTTTCTCGCCCTGGGCACATAATGGGTACAAATTCTTAATACTAAATAACAAACTAGCAAAGGGAGCATGCAGTTAATATTATACATTTAGTTAATATGTGCGTGTGAACAAATGTATGATGTGGATTTGAGTGTTAGTTTTGGGTGGAGGTACACAGCGTCCTTTTTGTTTCCATAATATAAAATTTGGTGGTATATCTTAACATTTTGTTTCATGTTTGGGTACAGAATGATACATTGCATAATTAGATTAAAACTTATAAAATACTTATGAATTAAATCTATATAAACAGAGAAAGGTTAGCAAATGTTTGTGTTAAATGCGTCTTAGGCGCCTTCGTAATCAATATAGTTCAAGTATCTTTTTTCAGCCATCAGCTCTGCCGGACAGTCAGGAGCTCCGGTGACATGATTGTTCGGCTTTTTGAAGTGCAGGCAGGTAGCGCAATTTGCTTCTTCCGTCTTCTTGGTGCAGTCCTTTAGCGAGTATCCTAGCTGCCCGCAGTGCCCACAGGTGTATGACGTCTCTTGCCACGTTTTGCCTGCCTTCCCGACCGAATCTAGATTCTGGTGGTATAAGCAAGTAAAAACTTCCATTTCCTGAGTAGTACTCGGTACCCTAATGAATATTACTCTCGCCTTCTTCTTATGTTGGTCGTCAATAACAAGGCCTGAGTTTATAAGCTGGGCTGACTGTTTCAATTTTTCAATTTGTCTCAACAAATTTGTCTCCATTTGTGTCTGTGCTGATTATGACGCCACCATTTTTTGTTTTGCGCAGCCCTCTTACTTGCAACTTCATTGCCACTGAATTCAAGCTTGGTTTTGGTATATTATTGTTGGTACCCTTTTTAACCATGTTGGCAAATGATGTTCCGGATGTATGTTTGGACGATTCATCAATGGTGCACTGAAGGTGATATAAGTTTTTAGATAGGTCAAGTTGGTCCTGAAGAGTTTGGACAGCTGTGCTGGTTCTAACGGCTTTAATTTTGAGGGACTGAAATTGTACTGCCATTTGGGAGGTACCGCTGCCCACTTTTCGACACAATGTGCTGATTCGTAACTTCTGCTCCGAGTTCAGTTTCCCTTCCGAAGCAATAGTGCATACCTCATTAAGACATTGCTCCATAAGAGACATCCAGTTCTAAATCTCAGGGGTCGAAATGACTTCCATCCGGTCATTACCTTGGATTTGAACGTTAGGGCGCGGTGTATGAGAAGGCATCGGTGCTGGTAAAGGCGTCGAAGTCGGTGTGCGGGCGATCGGGCATCGGGCTGTTACTCCTGTTAAATGGACTGACGTCCATAGTTCGATATTATGTGTATTCTAATTATAACACATTACCTCCAAATCGCTTTACATACAATTATGTACAGATGTGTGCATAGGCCGACCGTTTATCTGAGTCCTCGCCTGCGCGGTAACAGGGGCACGGGGGTATGACGACAAAGGGGACTGAGACAGGTGCGGGCGGCGGGCGAATTTTTGTAATCGCTCATTTCGATCGCAACGCGGACAGCGATCGCACGTGTTAATGTTGCGGACGCCTTGTGAGAGATACACATGTGATAACAATCTCAAGATGAATCGCAAGATCTTCGGTCATAAAGTGAATAGTCAGTGCAAGCAAATGGCTTTAAACGTGTACGAATATTTTAGAAAAAAGAAACTGGACCCAAATTCTGTTGAATATAAACAAACAACACATACATTTAAACAAAACCGTAGCAGAAGTTACTGGACTATTGGAAAAGACTGTATCTAGAATCGTACATCAACAAAAATTATTGAAAGGCAACGAAAGATCAAATCACCGAAAAAATCAAAAGAGTAGAAATAGACGATTTCACAAAAGCAGTGGTAAGAAGAAAAGTCACTCAGTTTTATACAATTGATAAAAAAATACCTACTCTGAAAACGTTGAATGCTGTGCTTAGAGAAGAGAATATATTACACTGCGGAAGGGAATATTTAAGGCTGTTGTTACATGACCTAGGTTTTAAATTTAAGAAATGCGGTTCTAAAAGGAAACTTCTTATTGAACAGCCAAATATAACATCGTGGAGGTGGAAATACCTAAGGACTATCAAAAAATATCGTAGAGAAGGAACACATATTTTATATCTTGACGAAACATATGTAAATGAGTCTCATAACGTTTCAAAATGCTGGCAATCCAAGGATGTACATGGCGTACTATCTCATATTGGAAAAGGGAACCGTTTGATCATCGTACATTGTGGAGGTCAAACTGGATTTGTAGACGGAGCACTTGTGATATTTAAATCCAAATGTAAAACAGGTGATTATCACGATTCTATGAATTTTGTGAATTTCAGTAAATGGATAAATGAAAAGCTAATGCCTAATATACCACCAAATTCCGTCATCGTGATGGATAAAGCAGCTTACCATTCGGTTCGAGAATAAAAAAAGCCTATATGGCTTCTACCAAGGTAGTTATGCAAACATGGTTACGACGACACGACGTGGTTTTCGATGATAAGCTGAAAAAGGACGACTTATCAAAATTGAATAAAAAGACAGAAACTGAAGATATTTATAAAATTGACGAGTTATTGAAAAGAAACGGGCATGAAGTGTTGCGTTTGCCTCCTTATCACCCAGACCTGAACCCTATTGAGTTGGTTTGGGGTCACATTGAGGGGCAATTTGCACAAAAAAGTGTGGACTCTAATCTAGACCAAAAAAAACTATGTTAGAGGTGGTGGATTATTTGCTGAATATTCTGCACAGAAGTGGGAGCATTGTGGTAACCATGTAATTAATATCGAGGACGAGTACTGCAAACATGATGGAATTCGGGATGATGCTGTTGATTTTATTATTAACACTCTGGACGACTCTGATGAATCCGATGATGACTCCTTCGAAAGTGAAGAATCAAGTTCCACCGACATTGATATGGACATAACTGATTGAAATATAATTTTGATGATTATTCTATATAATAAATAGTACAATAGTTTATTACCAAATATTTTATTTACGTACCTTCATAGTTTAGTTAGTTAATTAAAATTTTGTATTATCATTAATAATTTTTCATTTAATAAATCACTATTTCTTTACTATGACGTCACATATCTTAGGAACTATCTTGGCGCATTTCATCTCGTGTGTATCTCACTAAGCGCCCCCGCCGCCCGCACCTGTCTCAGTCCCCTTTGTCGTCATACCCTCGCGCCCCTGTTACCGCGCAGGCGAGGACTCTGATAAACGGTCGGCCTATATGCAATAAGCTCTATTTAAATAAGTCTCTTTTTCTAAATCACGTTGAACTGCGACGTTATGCTATTACATATACATGCGATTACAAATCTAGTCAACCTCTTAAAATATCCAACATATTACTCTACAATTCTGAGTGCCACCCGTGCTCAATAAAAATGATAGTACAAATCATGGCATACTGTACGCAAATCAAACAAGCTTTAGCGATTAGGCAATGGATATAACTGCGATGTATACTGGGATGCGATTAGACAGCAGAGACCCATATTGGTGATGTATTTAGGGCTAAATCAGACAGCAGGTAGGATTTCTAGGGTGAACAATTTAATATAGAAAATAACACACCATAGTGGAAAGTTCCCTTCCGATGACTGCAATGAGGACCCGGCGCTGCGGTGCCATAGCCGGGTAAATCGAAAGCGTGTGCTAAGTCGAGTCCTCATTGCAACAGCAGTGGTGACAGGCGCGACTTAATTCCCTCCTAGCAACCGAGTGCAGGTACTTCCCGAAGTAACCGTGCTCGGAAAGGACTAGCGTCAGCCGGAAGAAAAAGGTCCCGTGCTGCCGCTCTGCCCACTAGACGACGACAGTAAGCACGTGGAGCCTCCAGCCGGGATCACCAGCGAACCATCGTGGCTCGACGAGCGGCTTCACGCCTCTCGCGTATCTCTTTGGGTGGGGGCCGAATGCCGCTATCCGCCCGGAATCGGCGATCACTTCCGCCTCCAATTTCCACGGGGGTGTTCCGACCAACGCGCACGCCGCCTCCGTCGACACGGTGCGTAAACCGCGTATGGCTCTAACCGCCAACATCCTCTGAGGGCACCAGAGCCGTGCCCTATTCTGGGTGGTCACAGCCGTCGCTCATACCGAAATAACCAAAATAAGATAATGTACGAGTATATATATTTCTGTACCTCCTGTGAAAAGCGATACAAATAAAAAAAAAAAATACAGGAGAACAAAAACAAGATTTAGTAATTCTAGTTCGCGAATTAAGTAACCTAGTTTAAATTTGAGTACCCACCTTCTTTTGTAGATAAAAACATTTATTTTAACTGAACATTCAAAGAACAATGGCGAATTCGTAGTTGAGTATAATTTGAGCGTCTTAAAATGTCATTCACAGGAAACTAATTCTAGTAAATATCTACGTTTTATGAAACTATCACCTAAGTCAGTAATACCCCAGGAAAAGAAAAGAAAAATATTATAAGCTTATTTGATTGTTTTAATTTCCTTTATCAGTTTAGTGTTACCATTTTATAGCCATATTTTTCATGTAGTGGAAATACTGTCCAATAAAGTATCATAATATGGTAATCACTTAATAGTAATATGGTAATTAGAAAAT